TTTTTCCCCCTCAGTTTAAATAGTTGATATGTTGCTTTTATGACATTTGTAAACCCAGCTCTCTCTTTTTTGAAGCAGGTCTACAGCTCACAGCTTCTTCTGCTGACGACAAACCAAGAGAATAAGTTCATGTTTAAATATGTAAGGGTATTACAATTTAATTGAATAAAAATACATGGGTGAACAACTTACATTAATTTAACACAACCGACGTAGACTGCATGAAGAAACAACAAGAAATGGAGTGTCAGATAAAACAACAAGTCTCTTTTTTCCACTTACACACACACACACACACACACACACACACACACACACACACACACACACACACACACACACACACATCACTGAGAACACTGAAAAGGCTCAAAAAGACTTAAATTTAACACAACTGAATGACAGATCCAGAGTCTCTGTGCTGTGACAGTTGGGCCGTTAAAGGATTAGACACATGTAAAAAAAACAAACATAAGAGGCGAGTAGAGTCAAAGGTTATAATTCAACAGTGTATTTGGGTGGGAGGGGGCTCTCTTTGAGGCGTGAATGAAGGTCTCATTCACAGAGTTAGAGATGAATGCTTTACTATGTTGACAGCAGTAAACACACATGACATTCACATCTTAGTGTTGGTGATCCCCCTTAGAAGAAGGCAGGTGTCAGGCACGTGGAGGTGACGTCACATCTCTTTAAGGTCTTTTCTTTTTTTAAATTGAAATTATGAACAAATAAAACTATCCGACTTTTAACTGCTTGAAAACTAAATCTAAAACCAAATTTGACTAAGGAGTGTAACCGCTTTTACTGGCATACTTCGTCCTGTGTTCCGCAGGTTTCCAGAGTCAGGTTTGTGGCGCAACAGCGCCATCTGCTGCTCACATCCAGAAACAGTAGCCCTCACGTCGCACCTGACCTGCAGAAACCTGAGTTTTCTGTTTTCAATCAGTTGACAGCGTCTCCCATAAAAGTAAAAGGTGTCATGATCCTAAAGCTAGGCAATGCGTTGAGTAATTTAAGAAAAAAAACAAACTAAATGACAGTAAAATGTCAGAGAGAAAACAAATGTTTTGGTGTTGAATTAGTTCATGTATTTGGCTACGTTAACCAATTTGCCTGAACGCTGCTCCATTTATATATTTGAAAATGAAACGCAGAAAATATGCTGACATGTTTTCAAGGCAACAAACAATAACATACATTTTCTTCTGTGAATTCAAATTCAGCATCTTCACAGGCAACATGTGAGAATGAGAAATGTACTTTGCTAAAATCTTTGACATATTTCACCTTGGTACAGCATTAATTACACCATTTAGCCTCCTCATTTTATTGACCTATACTGACTGTTTCAATAACAACCAGCTGCAACAGGCCACTTAAAAAAAGGCGACGTGACAAGTTGATGGCTAACACAGTCACCTAACATGCTGCACCCAGGTGGAATACACCTTTAGCTCCAACGGGGTTAATTTGGTTTGCTCGATATTCCCTTTATCATTAAAAACATTCATAAAACCATAAATACAGACAGACACTCAGACAACACAGGCGTCCATTGAAACAACAGCGGCCTGCACATCATTAACTGAATACACAAACTGAAAAGAAATTTGAGTTTATCTCACTTAAGCCTGACTTTCTAGTTTCCTTTCGATCACCGCTTCCTGCTCTCCTCCATCACACAAGTTAAAAGGTTCCTCCGCCCGAGCTCTGGGGCGGATGTTACTCCCGACTGTTCTAATTATTCCCACTGATGTCTTGTTGTGACTACGAGTGGGAGGAAGAAAAATCGGAGACTCGGAAGAACCCAGTGTTGTTAAGAGTCCAAAGCGAGGGTGCGCAACACAGGTGGTGTGTTTTCAAAGCCCTCTTTTCTCTTTGTCAAAGTCATCCTCTGTTAGAGGATTCTCAGGCCAAATGGAAACAAGCTTTAAACTTGAAGCTGCAGGTTGGGTCTGATCTGATCTCCTCTCTGGATTTAAAAGCCAAAGTTATGTAGTGATGCTTGAAGGACTGAAATGATTATCATTAAATAAGGCCACGTGTATGAGGACAACACACATAAAGTACATGTGAAAATCAAAGGACGTTGGTTCAGAAAGTGTTTTTGAAAGTACAAATGGAGTGCAATTTCTCTCAGAAGGCACAGTCTGGCATCGATTGGCACGTTGCAGCTCGGTTCAGCTGAGCTGAGATTGGGCCCGGTGTGGTACCAGGCCGGTTTGGACCAGTCATGGACCAGTTTGATGCAGTCTATTTCTGCTGCTGCTGCTGCCTGAGGCTCTCAAGCAGGATTCGCTTGTGGGCGGGGTCGTGCACTCCCGCCTCCTCCAGGTCCTCCTCAGTGATGTCACTGGAAAAAGGAGGGAAAAAAAAAGGGAATCTAATGATGAAGAACTGCTTTCATTTTTATTTATTGTTGCATTATCAGAGGAAATAAAAGTCTAGATCTCCATGTACCTGAGGAACTCCAAATCGTCCCAGCCGTTGTGTAGAAGACCCTGCTCATACCGCTCCAGGCCCAGCCTCTGCAGCCACTCGCCCACTGACGATTCCCCCACAGACAGAGATGAGCTACTGCTGCCCCAAAGTGCCTACGGAGGAGAAATGCAATGCAGGAGCCACTAAATGCAGGAGCCACATCATTTATGCTAACAACATTACTAAGAGCTTAAGACTGCCTCTACTTTTCTTCACTCTAATAAGGTGACACATCTTACAGTAAAAGGCTTTGATATTTAACATCAAAGTTGAAGATATTCGTGTTTTTGTGAGAAACTGTACAAAAACTGGAGTCACCTGAAAGAAAACTACGCAAAAATCACAGCATTGCTTCTTCCAGCCTCTGAAACTGTTTTACACTAAACAGAATTACTTCCCATGAACCGCTTACCTCCTCAGGCATATCCTCTGCTATACTTTCTGTGATTGGATTTCTAGGTGGGAAGGTGCGGCAGGCATCCAGACCTAAACCCATCGGCTGCCCTCTAAGAGGAGGCGGTGCTGAGGGGGCACGAGGAGGCTGTCCAGGAAACTCACTGTCACTCAGTGTCTTTGCCATCTGGAGCACAGAGCACGACTGGTCGTCCAGCGCCCCTGCTCCAACTCCAACTCCTCCTCGCCTGAAAGCATCTCCGTGGGCAGCGGGGCCAGCTGCGGGGATCCTGACCTCAGCCAGATCGGGGTAAAGGGAGCGAGGTTTGGTGAAGGGGGCCTCGGGAACCATCTCCAGGGCTCCCTTTGGTAGAGGAGGTGGGGGGAAGTCAGGAGGAGGTCGATTCAGTGTGCTTCCAACACCTCCTCCCTGTGCCCCAACAACACAAGCACCTCCATCGTCTTCTGAGGAGCTCTCCTCGCTAATGGCACGAACCTGTCTGCGTGGGTGAGGGGGCCCCGAGGCTGCGCCGGGGGGTTTGGAACGCGCCCCGGCAGAGGGAGGAGGGGGTTTAGCTGCCTGGGGGTTGGCTGAGGTAGGAGAGGGCAGAAGCTCAGGTGAAACGGCTGCAGCTGACTGGTTGGGAACGCCCTCCAGGATGTAGTAGGCAGGATTATTGTAGCTGTTCTTGCTGATGGATGGATCGCTGTCTGATCCGTCCTGTTTAGGTCTTCATTATAAACACAGAAACTGTTGTAAAAACTCTTTTCATC